CAATGTAGGTCTTTCAAGACCGGTGTTATGTGGTCTCGGCGGCCACTCCCAGTCACTAGTCTAGCTGCCACATTCTGGATTAGTTGTAGTTTCTGGGTCACCTTCAAAGGTAGCCCCACGTAGAGCACATTGCAGCTGTCCAAGCGGGAGATAACCAGAGGATAAGGCGAAACAGCTGCCCAGGCTGCCTTTAAGCCCCCAAGCTGTGCCCAAGTTTCTATTGCAAGGGTAAGATAAAGGTAAAGGGACCCCTGACCATTAGGTCCAGTCGTGATCGACTCAGGGGTTGCGGCGCTCATCTCACTTTACTGGCCGAGTGACCCGGCGTACAGCTTCCGTGTCATGTGGCCAGCATGACTAAGCCGCTTCTGGCGAACCAGAGCAGAGCACGGAAACGCCATTTACCTTCCCGCCGGAGCAGTACCCATTTATCTACTTGCACTCTGACGTGCTTTGGAACTGGTTGGCAGGAGCAGGGACCGGGCAACTGGAGCTCACCCCATCGCGGGGATTCGAACCGCCAACCTTCCGATCAGTAAGTCCTAGGCTCTGTGGTTTAACCCACAGCACCACCCGCATGGCGGGTTGTAAAGGATATAAAGGACCAAATCATTCGTGTGCCCCCACCAGCTTTCCCTCCTCACCTGTATCTCCTGCTTGGCAGCATTCTCTGGGCCTTCATCACCTTCCACCCAAATTGCCACTCTTGAATTTGCGTCTTCTGTTGGGGCGGCAGCCCCTCTCAGCACCAAGCCCACCACTAGCCCCAGCAGCAGCCAGACGCACCACATCACCCTCGAGGCGCTCCGAGGCGCCGCACGACTCTTTGCGTGTGGATTTGGGGAGGGGAGAAGCTCTTGTTGATGGCGGAGGAGGTACGGGGAGAGAATGAGTGCCCAGAGGGAGAGATTTAGAGGGGAATGCGTTCCACAAGCGGGAAGGAAGTTTCCAAAGCGATCGCTTGTGCTGGAAAGGGGAACTAAATTCAAGGACTAAGTTGGGTAAGAATCTAGCAGAAGAGGCATGGTACTAGTTTGTTACGGAAATGACAGGGGGGGCACATCTTTAAAGTTACAATGTTATAAAAGGTCCATGAATAATAATGGCTTGAAGGTCCCAGGCCCTAAGGAAGCCAGACTATCCTCCACCAGGGCCAGGGCCTTCTCAGTGGTGGCTCCAACCTGGTGGAATGCTCTGTCTCATGAGACCAGGGCCCTGCAGCACTTGATCTCCTTCCGCAGGGCCTGTAAGACAGAGCTATTCCGCCTGGCCTTTAATTTGAATTAGCCTGATCCTCTATTTCCTTTTCCCTTTCCTCTTCTATGAAGAAACCATTTCTGGAACCCCACATTTAAATTCTTTTTTTTTTTTAATTTTTTATTAGTTTTCCAAACATGTAGTATAAACAAACAACAGAACAAAACAAAACATACACACAAATAAACATGTACAATTTCATAAACTCATTCTCCTTCACCTTGTTTCCCGGACTTCCCCATACCTCCCTCTTTCTGCATCCTTATTTTTCCCTTTTAACAGCAACCCTTCATTTCATTATTAATTCATCTTCGTTATAGCTCCTTTAAATTTATGATATACAGCTGCAATTCTCTATTTCTTAACACCATAACATCTCAGCACTCTTCGATTTTACAACAGTTTTTCAGATATACTTTAAATTTCTTCCAATCTTCTTCCACTGTCTCTTTCCCCTGGTCACGGATTCTGCCGGTCATCTCAGCCATTCCCATGTAGTCAATCACCTTCGCTTGCCATTCTTCCAGAGTGGGTAGCTGCTGCGTCTTCCAATACTTTGCCAGAAGAATCCTTGCTGCTGTGGTGGCATACATAAAAAAGGTTCTGTCCTTCCTTGGAACCAATTGGCCCACCATGCCCAGGAGAAAAGCCTCTGGTTTTTTAGGGAATGTCCATTTAAGGACCTTTTTGATTTCATTATAGATCATTTCCCAGTAGGCCTTAATCCTCGGGCAGGTCCACCAAAGGTGATAGAAAGTACCTTCAGTTTCATTACATTTCCAACATTTATTATTGGGCAAATGGTAAATTTTTGCAAGTTTGACTGGGGTCATATACCATCTATAAATCATTTTCATTATATTTTCTCTCAAAACATTACAGGCCATAAATCTGACGCCAGTATTCCACAGCCTTTCCCAGTCTTCAAACATAATATTATGACCTATGTCTTGTGCCCATTTAATCATAGCTGATTTTACTGTTTCATCTTGTGTGTTCCATTTCAGCAGCAAATTATACATTCTTGACAAGTTCTTAGTATTGGGTTCTAACAATTCTGTTTCTAATTTCGACCTCTCCATCTGAAAACCTATTTTCCTGTCCTGTTTGAATACCTCGTTTATCTGAAGGTAATGCAACCAATCTCGTACTTTAGACTTTAATTTGTCATAACTCTGTAATTTGACCCTTTCACCATCTTGCTCTAAGATTTCACCGTATTTTGGCCATTTGGACTCCATATTAAGTTTTTTCGTCTCTTTAGCTTCCATTGGTGATAGCCACCTGGGAGTTTTACTTTCCAGTAGATCTTTATATCTTATCCAAACATTATATAATGCTTTCCTAACAATATGGTTTTTAAAACCTCCCCACATTTAAATTCTTCCCTGGTCTCCTTGCTGGCCCTAGTAGGACCAACTTGGCCAGTTAGCCCTGGTGATCATTTGATGTCTACTGACTGGGTTTGTTTGTTTGTTTGCTTGTTTGTTTGTCCCCACAAATGACCCCTGAAATGTTGAATTTTATTGATATTGATGATGCTGTTTTTAAGTCGCATTTTAATCAATGTTTTATATTTGCTGTTAGCCGCCCTGAGCCCGGTTTTTAAACCGGGAAGGGCGGGGTATAAATAAAAATTTATTAGTTATTATTATTAAATATTATGCCTGAATATATCCTTTTGACTTGACAGCTCAGGGAAGATACCTAGCTTTAAAAATTTATACAAAATCCAAACTTTAACTGAATCTCCTCAATCCAATGCCATTTTAACCCTTAAAGAAAGGTGAATTTGGGCTCCCCCTCCCTCCATGAACCAAGAAGCAGGAAGTCACGTAGGCAGCAGGAACAGGGCATCCCGTGGTAATTCCCCAAGCGTGAGAGCACATCCACGGCCCCCCACTCAGGGAGCGACCAGGGGGGCAACACTACACATCCTCAGAGGCCGTTGAACAGGTCAGGTGTTCTGAAAGCCCATCTCCAGACAAGTCCTGAGGGCAAGGAGATGGAAAGAGTTTTATTGTTCTTTCGGTATATAATAAAGTGACCTAATGTTGAACTTGTGTAACCCTTGTATAAAAGGTGAAGGGATCCCTGACCATGATGTCCAGTCGTGGCCGACTCTGGGGTTGCGGCGCTCATCTCGCTTTATTGGCCAAGGGAGCCAGCGTACAGTGTTACATGACTAAGCCGCTTCTGGCGAATCAGAGCAGTACACGGAAACGCCGTTTACCTTCCCGCTGGAGCGGTTCCTATTTATCTACTTGGACTTTTGACGTGCTTTTGAACTGCTAGGTTGGCAGGAGCAGGAACCGAGCAATAGGAGCTCACCCCGTCGCAGGGATTCGAACTGCCGACCTTCTGGTTGGCAAGTCCTATGCTCTGTGGTTTAACCCACAGCGCCAACCATGTCCCTTAACCCTTGTATACCTCTCCCCATTTGTGACATGCTAGATGACCCACCATGCGGGTGGCGCTGTGGTCTAAACCACTGAGCCTCTTGGGCTTGCCAATCAGAAGGTCGGCGGTTCAAATCCCTGCGACGGGGTGAGCTCCCGTTCCTCGGTCCCAGCTCCTGCCAACATAGCAGTTCGAAAGCACATCAAAGTGCAAGTAGATAAATAGGTACTGCTCCGGCGGGAAGGTAAACGGCATTTCCGTGCGCTGCTCTGGTTTGCCAGCAGCGGCTTAGTCATGCTGGCCACATGACCTGGAAGCTGTACGCCGGCTCCCTCAGCCAATAAAGCAAGATGAGCGCCGCAACCCCAGAGTCGTTCGCGACTGGACTTAACTGTCAGGGGTCCTTTACCTTTTTTTAGTGATGTAGTGATGATGTATCAATGATGCAGCTCAAATTGTATTCTGGGGCAAAGAGGGAAGTTTTAAAAGAGGGTGTCACTCCGTGCTCAGGGTTCTTACTCTAAGGTTACCAGATGTCCCCGTTTCCCTCGATTTACAAATCAGTCCCCATACAAAATCCATTGAAGTTGAAAAGTGTCCCCGGATTCATTGAAAAAAATCTGATAACCTTATCTTACTCCTGTGGGGACCTGTTGCGCAACAATAAAGATCATGGTCTCCTGACTGCTGTTTTGCTCCAAATTGCTTGCCTGGACCTTCCCCTCGGGAGCACGCCCGCCCTGGGCAGCGCAGGAATATGCTCTGCCACTACTTAATGGCACATGTTAAGAAAAGGTAGAGGGACTCCTGACCATTAGGTCCAGTCGTGGCCAACTCTGGGGTTGCGGCGCTCATCTCGCTTTATTGGCTGAGGGAGCCATTGTACAGCTTCCGGGTCATGCAGCCAGCATGACTAAGCTGCTTCTGGCGAACCAGAGCAGCGCACGGAAATGCCATTTACCTTTCCGCCAGAGCGGTACCTATTTATCTACTTGCACTTTGACGTGCTTTCAAACTGCTAGGTTGGCAGGAGCAGGGACCGAGCAATGGGAGCTCACCTAGTCGCGGGGATTCGAACCGCTGACCTTCCGATCGGCAAGCCCTAGGCTCTGTGGTTTAACACACAGCGCCACCCGCGGCCCTATGGCACATATTGGTTTATCTTTAATAGCTATATCCCACACCTCTTTATGCAATTCTTCCAATTTATATTCCGCCTGCCCCTTCCACTTCCCAGCTATAAGAATACGGCTGCTTTCTGCCTTCATCCTTGCAGGCTGTTTTTAAGCTGCCCCGCTTACGAGGGTGTTTTTAAATTTATTTTCAGACAAAACAAGGCCACCCACTTTTGCAAATGCTTTATTGAGACATAAGAGCTGGAAGCACCGTGAGAAACCTCTGCAAGAGCTGACTCTTCGCTCGTTGAGACTTTGCATCTGGGTGGAATATCCTCGGTTGCATCTCCTGGACCAGTCCGTGATTCTTTGGAGACTGGAGGGGGACAGAGAGAAGAGGGGCTGCCGAGGGTATGTTGCTAACAGGGAGTGTTCTTGCAGCGACCTTTCCATGCCTCATGTTTAGGGATACCTCCTTTCCATGCATCATGTTCAGGGATACCTCCTGCTATGGTACTGCCGCATCCAGGCCTCCAGGTCAGAACCCATGTGCCATTGACGCATACGCACTCGGAACAGGTGCTCCTTGCCTGCAACAGAAAGAGCCAAGGTTGGCAATGAGGATAATAATAATAATAATAATATTTATTATATATACCTCGCCCATCTGGCTGAGTTTCCCCAGCAACTCTGGGCGGCTCCCAATCAAGTGTTAAAAACAATACAGCATTAAGTAGTTCAAGTTCAAGTTCATGTTTATTAAATTTGTGAGGTCCATGCCTTTACACAAAATACCATAAAACATTATTGAAAGATAGACAATAAAATTATAAAAGTAAGCTAAAATTCATGCCATGCTGTCCCAGCAAGGAAATTACCCAAAAAAACCCACCATTCAGGAAAGAAGATACAGCAACAGGTTAAGAGAGCAATGGGAGGGACCTCACCGTTTCCTCCAGGAACCGTACCCTAGTTTTCATAGCCTTCACCACAAAGACCGCTACCACGTGAGAAATCCGTGGATCAGCGTCCACCAGTAAAAACTTTACTTGGTCCTCAGAGTTGACTATTGATTTGGGAATAATTTGTAACATCGCATCCCTGAAGGCCGAATAGATGGGACAATACAACATGTAATGTGTGAGATCCTCTTTGGTTCTCATATGACAAGGACATATACGCTGCTCTACTGGGATTTTTGCATATCTGCCTGACAGATAGGCCGTAGGAATGGTTTGAAAACGGGCCATGGTGAAGGCTCTCCGAAGGGTGGGATTGGTGATATTCGCCAAGTAATTGGCGCAGGTTTTGACTGTTTTCAGTCGGGGAAACCAGTGGGAGGACCCTGGGTTCTGTATTTTTGTGATATCTAGCAAAGCGTCTCTCTCCAGGATCCATTCCCGAACTTTGTCCGGGCTCCACAGTTTGAGGATATTAAACTCCGGTAGGGTGTATCTAACCAGGATCTCAGATAGGTTTTGACGCCAAGTGGTGTTCTTTTGAAGAGATACAAAGGCTTGTTTGGCCAATAAGGTGTTTGAAGTGTTTGCAAGGTTGATGTAAAATCGTAGGAATCTTAAATGGGCCCTGGCAGACACAGAGGGTAAACCAACCTCCACCCTCAAGAAAGCTGCTGGGGTTCCTTGAGGAAGGCCTAGAATCCTCTTGAGATAATAATTTTGCAAAATTTCAAGCCGTTCCAACAGCCTCTGGTTCCACCCCCAGAGTTCTATCCCATATAACATCTGGGGAATAGCTTTCCCAACAAAAGCTCTTAATGCCGGGATCACCAATTGTCCTCCCCGGGTATGGAAGAAACTAAGCAGGACACCAATTGTTCTTCGTGTTAGGATGGTTACAGCCTTAAAGTGGGCTAGCCAACTAGATGTAGCCTGGAATGTGACACCCAGATATTTTAAAAAAGGGCACTGTTCAATCACATGTTCGTCTAAAGACCATCTAAAGGTGTGGCGAGCTCTAGTGAACACCACAATTTTTGTTTTGTCATAGTTTATCTTTAGTGAGTTATGGGAACAGTAGGCTGCAATCCCCTCCAGCCTATACAGCATTAAGTATTAAAAACTTCCCTGAACAGGGCTGCCTTCAGATGTCTTTTAAAGAGAAGATAGCTGCTTATTTTCTTCACATCTGAAGGGAGGGCGTTCCACAGGGCGGGCGCCACTACTGAGAAGGCCCTGTGCCTGGTTCCCTGTAACCTCACTTCTCGCAGGGAGAGAACCACCAGTAGGCCCACGGCCTCAGTGTCCGGGCTGAACGATAGGGGTGGAGACGCTGCTTCAGGTATACTGGGCCTTTGAGGCCATTTAAGGCTGTCAAGGTCAGCATCAACACTTTGAATTGTGCTCGGAAACGTACTGAGAGCCAGTGTAGGTCTTTCAAGACCGGTGTTATGTGGTCTCGGTGGCCGCTCCCAGTCACCAGTCTAGCTGCCGCATTCTGGATTAGTTGTAGTTTTCGGGTCACCTTCAAAGGTAGCCCCACGTAGAGCGCATTGCAGTAGTCCAAGCAGGAGATAACCAGAGCATGCACCTCTGGCGAGACAGTCTGCGGGCAGGGAGGGTCTCATCCTGTGTACCAGATGGAGCTGGTAGACAGCTGCCCTGGACACAGAATTGACCTGCGCCTCTATGGACAGCTGTGAGTCCAGAATGACTCCCAGGCTGCGCACTCCCAGGATAGGGTGAAAACAGTGTGACCAGCAACGGGTATGGGGTCTGAGCCCCCTAAGCAGGGCCAGTGACAGGTTCGTTGAAGGATCCATTCAAGTTGGCACGCTCTCCTCCACAGGTGGTTTTTAACCAGAGGTTGGGTGGCTATTTTAGCCATCATTTTAGGGGGTGAATCTTTGCAAATTTCTTCACTGAGTGGCCTGCAAAATGTGGCTTATTTGGGTATGAGGAATTCAAATCTATTCTTATTTTTGTGACTGGGCAACATTTAGCTTGGCATCATCCTCAATTTATTTATACCACACCCATCTGGCTGGGCTTCTAGCAAAATATTAAAATACAACAATTCATCAAATATTAAAAGCTTCCCTAAACAGAGCTGCCTTCAGATGTCTTCTAAAAGACAGATAGTTGTTTATTTCCTTGACATCTGGTGGGAGGGTGTTCCACAAGGCGGGCACCACCACCAAGAAGGCCCTCTGCCTGGTTCCCTGTAACCTCACTTCTCGCAGGGAGGGAACCGCCAAAAGGACCTCGGAGCTGGACCTCAGTGTCCGGGCTGAACGATGGGGGTGGAGACGCTCCTGCCTTCTAAATCTGATGCAGAAGCATATTAACTGCTTTCGGAAAACCAAATAATTTTAATGTTGCCTTCTTGAAATGTCAGGAAGTGGTAAACAATAATAGCAGCAATCAATAATAATAATATGATTGCAAATAGTTGGCAATCCAGTTTAGTGATTTCTGTTCAGGTTTACACACATTGTGCTTGCCCAGCAAGACCAAATCACGTTCCTTTCACCAAAATACCTTTTGTATTCTCAAGCCGGGATAGAACTTTTTAGCACCTTTCGTTTTGGGAAGCTAAAAGCTGAAAAATGTGACATGACCTATGAGCCAGCCGGGGATTCTTTAGCTGCGATTCCTGCATCGCGGGGACTTGGGCTAGATGCAGGGCCAGTCCACACATGAGGCAAGGCGAGGTAACTGCCTCAGGCGGCAGAATCCACAGGGGCTGTGATGGCCTGGGAATCGGATTCAGAGGCTGAACCTGAGGAATCCCAGTCTGTACAGGAGTCCCCGCCTCCAGAACCAGCTGAGCCAGGACTGGGGCCTGAGCCTGAAGGGTCCTCACCTGTGCTGGATCCTCAGGTGCAGGGATCAGTTGAGTCTGCTCTGGCTCCTGAGGTGATGGAGGACCCATTGCCTGCAGGTGCGCCACTCTCAGCCCCGTCAGTGGAAGCTGAGGTTGCCTCTGGGTCCGGTAACCCTCCAGCCTCTCCTGAGCTGCAGAGGCTCAGGGCAGAGAGGCGGAGGGAACTAAGTTCCCGCAGGAGGAGTGCTTGCATCCAGGCCAGGAGAGGCGAGTCACCTGTGGAGGGGGCCGCCCTATGCCTCAGAGGAGATAAAGGCCAGCCTGCCCAGTCCCAGGTGGCGGGAGCAACATCGTTGGTTACCTGTTCCTGCCGGCACCCTGTCTGGCTTTCTGCCAGAGTTCCTGACCAGACCCGACTCCCTGCCTTGGACCCCGCTTTAGACTCGGACTGGACACAGACCACGCTGCACGGTAACACACACACACACACACACCCCGGAACCAGCACAGGGGCAGAAGATACAGCCTTCAAGGAATTCATCACTTGGTGCAGGAGCCGCCGGCAGTGGCATAGCAAGGTGAGGTGGTACCCGGTGCAAAAAAATAATAATTGTCAACCCCCCGCATTGAAATTCCCCCTTCTTCCCTCCAACTCCCACCCCCCCTTCAGAGAAAGCCTTGCAGGCAGCTATCTGATGTATTTCCGGCCTTCTCCCCCCTCTCCCTCTATCAGATAGCTGCCTGTGCAGCTTTCTTTGAGGGGGGTGGAGGGAGGGAGGAAGGGGGAGAAGGCAGGATATACACCAGATAGCGGCCTGCAGGGCGATCGGCCCGCATCTTGCAGGGGGTTGGACTAGATGACCCTCGGGTCCCTTCTGTTATGCACTGAAGTTCTCACCCTGGGCCAGCAGGGGGGTACTGTAGATAGTTTTCACTCAGGTCCACATATGCAAATAAGGAGTGACGTTCATTGATTGGATAGTTACAGAAAGTGGTTACAGTTGCGTTGTAGTGGAGCTCTATATAAGCAGGCTGGCTGAACCCTTCAGTTCAGTTCTGTTCTGGCCTGTGAATAAACAAGAGCTGTTTGAAGAATCGTTGTGTCGTCTGATATGTTCACCCACAACTTAACACCTTCCAATTCTACGATTCTATGATTCTACAATAGCTGGCATATGTTAACAAGCCACAGTTTCCTCAATCCAGATGTAATGTTTTATTTTTTTTATTATCATCATCCTCAAGCCTTTATTGGCATCACTTACAAACATCTAGAATAAATAGGCCAGTGCAATCTCGTCGCTATTTCAACAGTACAGTATTTTTTAATTTTATTTTATCTATTTCATAGGATTGATATACTGCTTAGGGGTAAACCCTCAAAGCAGCTTACGAAATGAGCATAAAAAATATATTATGAAGTAAAAACCCAGCTGTTTAAAACATCCAGAGAAATAGTTGAAATAACGATAAGCTGAAAACCGATTAAAACACAGGCTAGCCTTCTACATATCTTTGTGGGCTCGCCCGGGAATATAGTGTTTTTAACAGGTGCTTTTGATGCTTTTGAATTACAGTGCTGGAGGAGACTCTTGAGAGTCTGCAAGAAGATCAAACCTCTCCATTCTGAAGGAAATCAGCCCTGAGTGCTCGCTGGAAGGACAGATCCTGAAGCTGAGGCTCCAATACTTTGGCCACCTCATGAGAAGAGAAGACTCCCTGGAAAAGACCCTGATGTTGGGAAAGATGGAGGGCACAAGGAGAAGGGGACGACAGAG